AAAAATGTGTTCATATTTCTTCTGAACTATTTCAACAAATAACTCTGAAGCTCATTATGTCTTTGTGAGATTTCAACATGTTACTAAACAGTTTAGGACCCACTTAGTTCTTTGCATCAGTTATTTGCCCCGGGGTAGTAACAGTTTATTACATGTTTCAGAAAAACCTGAGGACTGTATGGCATCATGTATCACTACATGTGATTAATTTACTGTATATAACAAATGGATAGAGATTCTAATTGACAAAAACATTAATAAACACTTATAATGTCTGTATATCCCTTTGTAGCCACATTGTACTGGGATATAAACAATTTACTGAGTTTCTCCTGGTTATGAACATTAAATAAAGGGAGTCAAGCTGTATCACTATGGATACACTTAACTATATTACAGATGTTTAGCTGCAAATTGAGTGGTGTTGCATAATATTCACACAGGATACTGTTCAGCAGTTCAGTATATAAGGATCAGGCAGTGGGCAGCTGCCTGAATAAGGACCCTCGTCCTTTGCCGGTGTGTGTAAAATGTGTCTCTGTGTGTAAAATGTGTCTCTGTGTGTGTGCATCACGTGAGCTGAGTTCACAGTGGCAGAGGAGGGTTGAGAAGGGGTCTTGGAAGAGGAAACGGAATTTTCCTCTCTGCTTTGTCTTTTTATGCTCAAATGTCACTGGATGTTTTTACTTTTCACAAGCCAGACACAGTGATTCTGCTGAACAATGGCTGGATTAGTGGGTAGAGTAGAATTTGGCTTCATAACACACTGCTTGCCTGCAGCAGACCACAATAGCCATCTACTCCCTGGGTAGCTAGCACAGTATACACAGCACAATACTGAAGTCTCGTTCATGTTGCAGTAAATCTTTCTGTGCTCACAAAACTCCATTAAAATTCCCTTAATTTAGCTATCACTCAGCAAAGCAGAAATAAAGTAGAGAATCAACATTAAAATGATATTTGCTAAATGTATTTGTATATCACTACCTGCTTTCCTTGTTTAAGTCCAGCCCATCTCTTGTAAAATGAAAATAGCTGTGAAGTCCCATCAATGAACCAGGTGTGTAGTGGGCCTTCTACTTCTAGTAGTGCATTCAATTCTCAGGCTGGCATCTCAACAGAATTCTTCCCAGCCAGAAGCATAAAACAGTTAATAGAACTGAGTAGGAAAGTGTAAGTTGGTTGAGATGAACCCTTACCATGTCATACACGTTAAGGATCACAGGTTCATTGGCCATGGTTTAAACCTGAGCAGGAAAGGCAAACGCTGACAGCACCTCCACACGCCGCTGAAGTCACAGGGCCACACGGTGGACAGCGGGAGCAGGCAGCCTTCTGCTGGAGGGATGGACAATGTTGATTCCCTCGCACCGAAGCAACCACTGCACGGACACAGGCCTGTGCACGAAGCCAGGAGAACGTCCACAAGGAACGGAACTGGATCAGCTTAGCAAGATGTTACTGAGCCATTACCGCAAGTAAGTTCGGGAAACCCAGCAGGGCAAAGCGAGGTGACAAGTTTGGGAAACCCAGCAGGGCAAAGCGAGGTGCGGCAGTGGACACGGCACATCTCCCGGCTCCAAGTATATATGTGTGTTGTAAAGGAAACAGATGCTGGCACGATGTGAAGATGCGAAATAAAACAGCTCAAAAAATCAGATTAGAGGTGATAATGCGAAACATAACCCACATAAAGGGCCTAGAAGTGTTGAAATCTGAAGCAGGCGCTCTCCCGTCATCACGGGCGAAAAGGGGACAGTCAGGGCGGACTGGTGTCGACGATGGAGGCGGAGTGTGGGCCATTTTCACACGCAGGATGTTGCAGCAGCTGCGGGAGAGGAATCCTGAGCCATGGTGGTTAACTACAGCTGATGACGGAGTCCGGTTCACCAGCAGGGGCATCTCCGACCGGTGTTGCTGCTACTGCTTGGCCAGCGTCCAGCATCCTCTTCGTCGGGAGGTGAGGCTAGTCGGCGCAAACCTCCGCGACATGAGTCCTCCAGCAACACCGAAGCGTCAACACAAACTGCTGGATGATGGTTTTAGAATGACTTGAATCTGAATGTATCCGAATGTACCAAAGCAGCCGAGATCCATCCGTATCGTGAGGTGATGATCCAACTCTTGCTCTGCCTCTTTCTGGCTGTGGTTGGGACTAAAGCGGTAGATTACATCATTTCTGCCTCCGAGGCTACATCCTGATGTGAGCCCAACCTGCTGGTGGGTGTACAGGAGCACATTTGGTTACAAAACACACTACTTTACTATTTCTGTCTAAAAAAAAACCCTAACAAACAAACAAAGAAAAAAAACTCCATGCTGAAAAATGACTTAATTTTCACCTCTACCCTGCGTATTGGTCGCTTAAAAAGTGACGCTTAAAACAATTTAGACATGTTCAATAAAACCTTTTAGATCCGCTGACATCAAAAAGGTTTAGTTTTGTTGGTGAGTTTTATGAGAGGGATCTGGCTGCAGACAAGATGGCGGATTGGAACCACAATTTGCATACTGTCAACCTCGACCGGAAGTTGTCAACTTGTTCCGGCAGTTATATCTAGGGTTAATTTTAACGCCAACACGTTATGCTAACCATAGCCCCAACCTTAACATTTCAACTATAAACCTAATCCTGCTGGAGTGAAAGACCTCTGGTTAACAGGCCTAACGCCAAATTCCTGCTACTGTCAACAGTCAGCCATCTTGTCAGCAACCAAGTTCTCTTGCTTTAAATGTGATGACTACCACTCAATAAAAAATAATACAAACATACAGCAGGTTTATTTTTTGTGACACCAATTTTACTAAAAGATAGGCTATAGGATATTTTATGCTAGTCTTAACTGTGATTTTGTTGTCAGGTCTATCTATCATTAGGATACTGTTTTCCCCCCATCATATTATGTGAACAATAAACAGTATCATACATATGGCCAATTATTCACTGCATTCAGAAAGGACCCGGTTTTGTCAAATTTAAACAATAGTACCCACTTTTGTTTTGAAGGTATGCTGACACCATCTGGTCTTCTGGATATAATCATCTAACTTGACTTGGGTTTAGCCAACATAGACTTTGGTCCAACAAATAAATGTTAAGCTTTATTTATTTCAACAATGATGAAATTTACTGAGTCAAAAGTATGATACACACTCAACAGTTCCACTTATTGCCACAGTTATGAGAAGACACATATATAATTTATACTTACTACCTACTAATCTTGACCATCTTTTATTTTGACTTAATACTTCATAATTTTAAATGACCATTTCATTGGTAGTTTTTCATCACTTCTGAGCCCTTTTTCTTTTGGTACAACTGGCCTTGCATATTTATCACCACAATGCTCATTTTTTAGCATTTGACATTTACAAATTTACATTAAATATATGTAGGCTATTTCCTGCCCCTAAAACAAACAAACAAACAAACAAACAAACAAACAAACACTTGAATTCATCATAGATTTTAATGCGTGCTTGGATATCAAACACAGTATTCCCATCATTTATTAGTGCTTCTGATCTATTCTTCTGGCACACTGAACATATTCACAATCCCACTAAACAGAGCAACATGAAATGTATTTACAGACAAAAAAAAGTGCCATATGCAGTCACACAATTACATGATAGAGGTTCTGCAGACTGGCAAATGTGGACAGATACATCTCATGCACATAATTTACTTATTCATCTGTTCTATGTATGTGACAGGAGGAACTGATTGTGGCTCCTTGACAGCAACTTGTTTCCTAGGAAACACTCCTTTAAAAAGAACAGGCTCTAGTGGCTTTCCAGTCATTTACAGTTTATTAAGCTGTTGGTCCTTCGCACAAGAGAACAACTCCTTTCCTCTAAAGTACACTCCAACTTTCACATCAATCCCAAGTCAAAACACTTACCAGAAAATGACATAGGACTACAAGCACTGGCTGATGCAGAATTAGGAGAATGTTTGTGACACAAACATAGCAGCATGTCTCAGTTTACAGCTGTGGCTTTTACATGTGACACTACAACATAAATTAAACTCGTCATAATACTCTGAACAAATCTGATGATAACACTCATCAAATAAATCCTAATACAAAAAACCTAAACCAACAATGAACTGATGTTACTGAACCAAGTACTGTCTGATGTAGCTTATTCCTTCATTTTGTTGAAGAACTATTAAAAACATCACTGAACTACACCGTTGTACTGGGTCATATGGTCCTTTATTACACTAAACACAGACCCTAGTTATTTTCCGTCTATCACATTCACTGTCCTACTGCTGGAAAATCTCTCTAAAGCACGGAATGTGTATTAACCAGCAGCTGAAAATAATTCCCAACAAACACTATTTCCTTTTGTTTTAGTCAGGGGCAACAAGACTATCATTACTTGGAATAGACAGAAAAAGGCACTCAAAAAGTCCATTAAGAGAGACAGTTTATCACAGACGCAGGCTTTTTCGAACCCACAGCTCAATCTAGAATCTGTACAACAGAGCAGCATGAAATCAAACCCAGTTGACAAACTGAAAGAACAGGAAAGGCTTCTTCACATTACCCCTCAGATAGGTCTGCCATTCAGCAATGGAGGTACAGAGACACCTAAATGTGACACTACACAACACTGTCTTTCAGTTTGTAAATGGACCCTGAAGCTCAAGCTCGACTCAGCCTGACTTCATCCAACGGTTTATTTGGTTTCCTTCATAAAACCTCTGTGTACAAGCAGCCGTCTGTTTGTGCCTGGGCTCAGCCCAGCAACAGGACTGTAGTGTACATTATTTTAACAATTTATAAAATGTAACATCTGCTGTTAGAGAGCATCCACTTGCATAGGATCGGTGTCATTAAGCTACTATCAATCACATAATAGAACATCAGTGACACCAAGACCTACTAATAAAAAAAAAAAAGAGCCATTTACCGTTTAGAGTTTGTTCCCTCTTTCATATCTTTGGCCTTTAGCAAAGTTTTTGATCTAAAAAATAAAATACAGATGTTGTTAGCTCCCAGAAAAGATACAGGGGTTTGGTGTTCGGGTTGTGAGCCTGTAGGTCCGTTCATGTGATGGGGCAACTGCAAGATATGGACAGAAGAACACATTAAAGCTACAGTGGAGGTAGAAATACACTTATATGTAGAAAGAGTGGACCCACCTTCTCTGCTCAGATTACATTGTTGGAAAAGTTTTCGTTTAGGGTTCCAGCTAACGAATTAATCAGCTGAAAACTTTTTTGATTAATGAATTTATTGTTGTCCTTATAAAATGACAGTAAAATTGTGAAAAATGCCTGTTATAATTTCCCACAGACCAAGGTGGTATCTTCAAATGTCTTGTTTTACCTGATCAACACACAGATCTTGTGTGACAGAAAATGTATTTGTCTTGTTTGGGAAGCTAGAAACAGCAAATATTTTACATTTTGCTTTAAAAGAATGGATAGATACTTTGATTATCAAAACAGTTGAAGATATATTTTCTGATAATTAGCTAATCTTTAGACTCTGATGGTGCAAAAACCTTGTATATATTTTGTGATATGTTTTAGCGAAGACTTTTCTGTTTTGGGGACAGTCAAGCTGTATAGGAAAAACGAAAAAGCTAGAGGTCATTTAAAGGCATTTTGTGGTCAACCTTTTTCAGAACACGGAGCTCCACGTCCTCGCCTGCTGTCCTGAACAGCTCAACCGCTGCTAAATGTGTCAGATCCTCAAGTTTGACTCCATTGATCTACAAAACAAAAATTCATAATCATCTTTAATCAAATGACTGAACTTCAGTTAGGCAGCAGTTATTCATTAGGTTCACTTTTGGTTACTCAGATGTGGAGCTGAAACAATCAATCAAATAGTCCACTTTGATCAATTACTCTATTATTTTTAACATTTCATGGTTCAAGCTTCTCCAGTGTGAGGATTTGCTACTTTTCCAGTCTTATGTTGTAGTTAAATAAATATCTTTGAGTTGTGGACTACTGTTAAACTCAGAAAGCTATCTGAATACATCTCCTCGGGCTCTGGGAAAATATTATGTTATGCTTAAAAAATAAATTGTATAAAAAAACTGATTATCAAATTTGTTGCCAGTTTTAATTTTAATATTCAGTTTTATCAAACCAAACAGAAAGAAGTAAAGCTGCAAATAAAGTTTTTTTCACTGTCAACTGATCTGACAGCTTTTTAAAAAAATTAAATCGACTGGATGTTTGGTCAGTAAAACAATACAAAGCAATGAAAAATTAACTTCAAAATTTCCCAGAGCCCAAAGTGAATAGCTTTTATCTATGTGACCAATACATACCCAAAGATGCTCAGTTTACTCAATGTAAAACTGGCAAATCCTTCTGCCAGAGAAGCTGAAACAATTCATGTTTGCTTACCAAAATACTTGCAGCTCCTGTAACAAGCACAGTTTAATAGTGTACCCAACAATCTTTCCATAAGTCATACACAAAACATCTCCTCTACATCCCACACCCATTTATTACCGCCAGGATCTTGTCCCCCTCGTGGAGCCTTCCATCCATCGCTGCAGCTCCTCCTCCTTTTATTTTGGACACATATATGCCACTGTCATTCACAACATACTGCTGGTCCACACCTCCAACTATATTAAAGCCCAAGCCTAAAAAAAAAAACGCAGCAGACAAAAATAAATACTAGCATGGGATAGGGGTTATTGGTAAAAGTCGGTAGGTATAAATCTCATTGTTCTCCAGGGCAGAAGTTGCTGATCCGATCATAACATTTGGTTATCTCAGTTGGACCAAAGTACAAGAGGACTCCATCCAACAAAATACTAGGCAGACGTGTATTCCAGTAAACACCAGTTCACAAAATGTTACCCAACAAATCCCAGGTGTAAAACAAACCAACTCTCATGAAGCTAAATAACCTTCTTAACCCTCCAGTACCAGAAACTCGAGTCAGAAAGGCCGAGCATTAACGTCAACTACTTTTACAGATTTTAACAACAGCGTCAAACTGCAAAAATGACAGCTTTATAATTGAGCTACTACTCAGTAGGTTTCCACAACCCAATGCCTCTATTTGTCCTAAACGATAACACAAGGTGGGAAGAGGTGTTGTTATTTCTGATTCGTAAATTAGCCTTTAGCTCCAGGACACACAGTAACCTGACAACGTTGACTTTTGCTGCTACCTAGCTAGCTAGTCACCGTTACATGCTAAAACAGTTCGCTGGATTCACAGTGTTACCTGCTGGTCCTCGCTTCAGTTTTATGTCCACCACGCTGGGCGAGGAGTGCAGAGAGCCATTCATTTTGTCAAGTCACCAAACGATTAAAATAAGTGTTTAGAGAAGGACAAACTATTTATCCGAAGGTGAGCTCATTGAGGAGTTTCGATTTGACACAGTTTGTGGTCGTGCTGCCCCCTGATGGGCTAACACGGATGTGCAGGCTGACCTTTGAATTACAGTGAAGTGAGGCAAATCAGAAAATACGTATGCAAAAATACATCAGTCAGTTTATTCCTGAGACAGCAGCCCCCTGGGCACAAACAATGCAGGCCCCCCACATCTCCTAAAGTGTACAGGAGCAAAGACACAAGTGACTGTGTCTATTTGTAAACACATTTTGTGCTTTTTATAGTTGTATCTACTTTTTTTAGTCTTTCTTTGTGGTTGTTTTGCATCTACTGTTACTCACTTTGGATTTTACTCATTTTGTGTCTCTTTAGAATTGTTTTGCCTCCATTTTTACTTATTTTCTATCTCTTTGTTGTTCTTTGATTGACCGCTCCCCATCGGCCCCTTGACCCTGTACCCGCTAGGCCCATTCAGTTAATCCATCCATGTGTTTATGAGGTACACCAAGATAAAACACAGTCTAATACAACAGATTACAAAAAATTCTACCTTCATTAAGCTTGAAACTGTTTCAGAGAGAGTTGTTGATTCCACTTAAATGATCATTTTGGATGTTATGTTTGTTACTGCAGTATATAAACTGTCAGCTGAGTGTCATTTGTAAGTACAGTAGATGTTTTGGTATTACAAGGAACAACATAGGCTACAATACTGATCAGTGGTAGAAGTACCAGATTGTTTACTTAGGTAAAAACAGTAATACCACAGCGTTAAAAACAATCTGCTACATGTCCTGCATTGAAAGGTACAAAAGTATTAGCATCAAAATGTACTTAAAGTACCAAAAATAAAAAGTCATTATGTAGAACGGCACACTTCACATTAATGTATGTCATATTATTGGAGCTAATTTTAACTATCTTATATGCTTATAATTTTAAGTACTGTTGGGTCAATTGTGAATTTCCCACCAAGGATCAATCAAGTCTTATTATACTGTATTTTGTTTTATTCATGTTTTTTAAAAGTAACCAGAGTCATCAAATAACATGGTGGCTGTGGTTCTGGAGGTTGAGCAGGTCGCTTCCTAATGGTTCAGTTCTAATCTTCTGCAGTCCACATGTAGAACTGTCCCTGAGCAAGACACTGAACTCAAAGGCTGTCTGCTGTTGTGCAAGTGTAACCAGGTAGAGTGTGAAAGCCCTTTGAGTGTTTAAGTACATATAAAAGTTCATTTAGCAAAAAAAATGTGGCAGAGTAACAAGTTCAGGTTTGTCAATAATTGCTTAAAGTCTGCATGTTCACTTGATTTTACTGTCATTTGTCATTTTTGGGTAGAGTAAATGCTAGCAGGGGACCTAGCATTTATTGTGTGTACAGGCAAGCAGCTCATGAAAAGTGTACAATAGCTCTCATTTTTGTTTGTTGCCCCTTTATTTATAAGCATACAAAGTACTGTACCACTGTTACTTTTGGCAACAAGTTGGAGACCCTGTCCCTCCCCATTACAACATTTTACTCTAATTCAGACCCGTTTTGTTTTTTTTTACCACCAGATTTGACTTCAACATGAAATCATAATACGTACACCATTACCTGACCCTCCAGTCCAGGAGCTCATGAGGGTTAATACTGAAGAAAGGATTTAAACACATTTCAGAAAACTCCTTTAGCCTATTGTTTACAGGTTAGTGAGTCCTCGAGGATCAGCCAGCAGAAGATAGTGGAAGGGAGATCAACTGATTTTCAGCATCACACTCATGCATTATGAAGGCTTATCAAGGACAGAGTAATAAACATACATGTACTGTAAACAAAAATACAGCACTCAAGCTGGAAATAAAAGAAATGTTTGGGACACATCGCACTTTACCACCTGGCCTACAAATTTTTCATTAGGACTACTATTAGTATTATATTAATATTTCCTTAAAACATCTTTTAGATGCACTTCACTTAAACTATGTCATTAAATATACTGGATTGTGAGTGTATATAAAATAAAGATGTCATCCAGTGAAAAACAGAAAAGGATTACAAGGTGCAGACCTGGCTAAACCTGTCATCTGTTCTGTAATGAATGATGACGTGCCATGTGGACAAAGATTACACTTCATTAACTTTTGTTCCTTGCAAATTCCATCAAAAGCATCAAAGTATTTGAAGGGATTTCAAATATTGAATTACAGTGGTAAAGTTGGAACTAGGGTTTCTGTGTACTATGCGATGTACAAGCTCTGGGATTCAGGTCATTCTCAGGTCTACACTACTGATGAAGACGTCTCTGAACACATGCAGCATGGTCACTTTCTCCAGCTCTTTGACTCTGTGTTTGTACTCCAGCAGGTGGTTGCCGTCCACTGACACTTTAAACGCGTGACTCTCCACACGGATCTTCAGCTGCAGGGAGAGTAAAAGAAACTTAATAAACATCGTTTTAATGGGTGATGCAAGCAGAGCTGACAAAAGAAACTTAATAAACATCAAGTTTTAATGGGTGATGCAAGCAGAGCTGAAACAAACGAAAATTAAGCTTAGGTAATTTATCATGAATTAAATCTGCAATGAGTTTATCTTCTTTTTCTGGCTGGGGGGTGGGGTTAAAACAAGTTGTGACCACAACATTAACTTATCTTTTGAGGTAATATTATCTTACTGTCATTCATCTGTACACAGAGGTTTTTAGAGCTAAGCTTTAGAAAATTGTGATCAGCACTTTTCTTACCATCTTCTAATATCCAAAAGACAAACTGATAAAATAATCTGCTGGTTCAATGATAATGATGCTTAAATGAAACTTGATGATGGTAAACTTCTTCATTTCAAATGGCAAAGCACTGTAGGAAAACGCCTTTACAAAATGTGCATACACTGACACCAACTTGTCAGTGACCGTAAACAGTCTACCCGTAGGTTCACTAGTAAACCTATTAGTACCAACAATGACAAACCTGCTGAGCCTGCTCTTCTCAAAAAGGGATATATTTAACATGACTGCTGAACATAAATTGCACCAATATCTTTTTATAAGGTAAAATTAAAAGAAAAAAAATCTAAACACTTTATTGTCCTACATGTTGAATCTCCACTGGAACCAGTTTTATGTCAAATGCAACATTACTGTTTAGGATGTGTGGTCCCAGCATTCACCAATGACTAATATCTAGTTCAAAACATGAGTCACACCCATGTTCAAAATCTTGTGTGACAAACAGAAGTGGCATGTAAAAAAGCAACTAGCAAGCTGACTGGCAACTTGGAACAAAGCTCTGCAACTCAGTTTGCTTTAGTTCATCATTTGTGTGACGTTAAAGACTCAACACACTCACACAGGTGTTTTCACCTGTTGTGGCTGATTAGAGCCCTGCTCAGGGTAATGTCTGGCAGTGATACAGCTGGAATAAGGTGAGGTACAAAAGTTCATGTAATGAGAAAAAGTGTAATTTGTTCTATATTTCTACTTCACAACAGGAACCTTTGTTGCCTGTCCAAAAAAAAAAAAAAAAAAAGTCTAGTCTGTACACACTCACACAGGTCTGAGATGCACAGTGGGTGGACCATAGGTCTGCCACTATAAAGCTATTTACAAAACAATGTTTTTGACTTGTCCGATCTACATTACTGTTGCTACCTCAAAACGTTGTCCTCGAACAAATGGGAAGCCTCCATCCCGCTCCTCTGGCCCCCAACATCCACCTAAATTGGAGTTTCTAACAACGGTTTGCTCATTAAATCGAGGGTTGAAATGAAAGGCGATATCTGGACCTTTGACGAAGTCAACATGGATCCTGCAGAATGAATAAATGAATTTATTACTAAGTGCCACTAACAACTAATCATTCTTCCACAATCCAATCAATAAAATATCACTTGAATAAGTCAAATAAGAATGGTGATACTGCTAATGAAGCATTTCCATTTTCCACAAGAGCCCTTTTTGTCAATGACAGCATCTTATCAACTGTTGTAAGGTGAAAGTAAATGGTGCAGTGTATACGAGCCATTGTTAATGATGTGCATTTAACTATGAAGACATCGGACCAGTGTGAACCCATATGTTGAAGAAGACAACACTGCCATGATCTGGAGGATTAGGATTGATGCCTGAAGAAAGGATTTAAACACATTTCAGAAAACTCCTTTAGCCTATTGTTTACAGGTTAGTGAGTCCTCGAGGATCAGCCAGCAGAAGATAGTGGAAGGGAGATCAACTGATTTTCAGCATCACACTCATGCATTATGAAGGCTTATCAAGGACAGAGTAATAAACATACATGTACTGTAAACAAAAATACAGCACTCAAGCTGGAAATAAAAGAAATGTTTGGGACACATCGCACTTTACCACCTGGCCTACAAATTTTTCATTAGGACTACTATTAGTATTATATTAATATTTCCTTAAAACATCTTTTAGATGCACTTCACTTAAACTATGTCATTAAATATACTGGATTGTGAGTGTATATAAAATAAAGATGTCATCCAGTGAAAAACAGAAAAGGATTACAAGGTGCAGACCTGGCTAAACCTGTCATCTGTTCTGTAATGAATGATGACGTGCCATGTGGACAAAGATTACACTTCATTAACTTTTGTTCCTTGCAAATTCCATCAAAAGCATCAAAGTATTTGAAGGGATTTCAAATATTGAATTACAGTGGTAAAGTTGGAACTAGGGTTTCTGTGTACTATGCGATGTACAAGCTCTGGGATTCAGATCATGCTCGGGGCTGCGCTGTAGAGGATGATGTCTCCGACCACTCGCAGCAAGGTCACATCCTCTAGCCCACCGATTCTGTGTTCGTACTCCAGCAGGTGGGTGCCATCCACTGCCACTTTAAACATGTCCTCCTCCACAAGGATCTTCAGCTGCAGGGAGAACAAAAGAAACTTAATAAACATCAAGTTTTAATGGGTGATGCAAGCAGAGCTGAAACAAACGAAAATTAAGCTTAGGTAATTTATCATGAATTAAATCTGCAATGAGTTTATCTTCTTTTTCTGGCTGGGGGGTGGGGTTAAAACAAGTTGTGACCACAACATTAACTTATCTTTTGAGGTAATATTATCTTACTGTCATTCATCTGTACACAGAGGTTTTTAGAGCTAAGCTTTAGAAAATTGTGATCAGCACTTTTCTTACCATCTTCTAATATCCAAAAGACAAACTGATAAAATAATCTGCTGGTTCAATGATAATGATGCTTAAATGAAACTTGATGATGGTAAACTTCTTCATTTCAAATGGCAAAGCACTGTAGGAAAACGCCTTTACAAAATGTGCATACACTGACACCAACTTGTCAGTGACCGTAAACAGTCTACCCGTAGGTTCACTAGTAAACCTATTAGTACCAACAATGACAAACCTGCTGAGCCTGCTCTTCTCAAAAAGGGATATATTTAACATGACTGCTGAACATAAATTGCACCAATATCTTTTTATAAGGTAAAATTAAAAGAAAAAAAATCTAAACACTTTATTGTCCTACATGTTGAATCTCCACTGGAACCAGTTTTATGTCAAATGCAACATTACTGTTTAGGATGTGTGGTCCCAGCATTCACCAATGACTAATATCTAGTTCAAAACATGAGTCACACCCATGTTCAAAATCTTGTGTGACAAACAGAAGTGGCATGTAAAAAAGCAACTAGCAAGCTGACTGGCAACTTGGAACAAAGCTCTGCAACTCAGTTTGCTTTAGTTCATCATTTGTGTGACGTTAAAGACTCAACACACTCACACAGGTGTTTTCACCTGTTGTGGCTGATTAGAGCCCTGCTCAGGGTAATGTCTGGCAGTGATACAGCTGGAATAAGGTGAGGTACAAAAGTTCATGTAATGAGAAAAAGTGTAATTTGTTCTATATTTCTACTTCACAACAGGAAGGGACCCTTTTTTGCCTGTCCAAAAAAAAAAAAAAGTCTAGTCTGTACACACTCACACAGGTCTGAGATGCACAGTGGGTGGACCATAGGTCTGCCACTATAAAGCTATTTACAAAACAATGTTTTTGACTTGTCCGATCTACATTACTGTTGCTACCTCAAAACGTTGTCCTCGAACAAATGGGAAGCCTCCATCCCGCTCCTCTGGCCCCCAACATCCACCTAAATTGGAGTTTCTAACAACGGTTTGCTCATTAAATCGAGGGTTGAAATGAAAGACGACATCTTGACCTTTGATGAAGTCAACATGGAACCTGCAGAATGAATAAATGAATTTATTACTAAGTGCCACTGACAACTAATCATTCTTCTACAATCCAATCAATAAAATACCACTTGAATAAGTCAAATAAGAATGGTGATACTGCTAATGAAGCATTTCCATTTTCCACAAGAGCCCTTTTTGTCAATGACAGCATCTTATCAACTGTTGTAAGGTGAAAGTAAATGGTGCAGTGTATACGAGCCATTGTTAATGATGTGCATTTAACTATGAAGACGTCGGACCAGTGTGAACCCATATGTTGAAGAAGACAACACTGCCATGATCTGGAGGATTAGGATTGATGCGGGGTTATCATAAAGGCATCCAGTGATGTTTCTACCTCAAACAGGAAGCACCACTGACAGGAGAACTGGAGGCTGAATGTTGTCCATACCTGTCTGCACCAGGGAAAGGCTCCCCTACTATTGTGATCAAAAGTTGCGGCAAAATTCCAGCATGAAGTGGGAGATCATACGGCATCTGTAAAAAAAATATTTACACTTTAAAGTATGACAGTACATTTACTATGTTTTAGTTTGAAATAAAGGTAATGTGTTTCACTGATTAAGCCCCCCACCAAAAAAATCCCACAGACAAATGTAGAAACTCAAATTTTATCACTTATAATCAGAACTTATAATATACAGCAAAGTGCTTAATATCATTCAAATAAAGAAGCATTTTTAGTTAAACATTACTCAGACCTTTGACCCTGCTCACATTCCTAATACAACACCACAATGAGTCATCATCTCTTTCCACTCTTACACAATTCACAATGATTAGTGACAATGACAGAAAAGGCCAAAGAAAAAAAATCATTTTAATTCTAATCACATACAAACATTACAAAAGTGACAAGTCAATGTGGAGATAGTGATGAACATACAAACTCATCAAACTGTGACTTTATCAACAAAGTTAAATGTGTCTTTATACGGTAAACAGTTTTGTGCAAAAGTGTAATATTAAATCTCATTGCACTTTATTTAAACATTACATCCCCGGGCAGATTCAACACAAACTTCAAACTTCAACAGTATATATTTATATACTCAGTCTGTTTTTCTAATCAAACCATATGTTGATTCTGGCGTGACGTCCTTGTCCGACTGAAAAGTTGAGCTCATTGCTTTCAATTATATGGTGGATTATATCTGGGCTGAAAGAAAAGAATACATTTTTGATAACTACTTTTGTTCTGCTTTATGTTTTGCACCCCAGCAGAGCCCAAGAGAACAGAAGAAAAAATAAATTGACCATTCTGCAGTAAATCCCAACAAAACAGGAAATCTTCAGTTTCCACCAGCAGCAGCTTTAGGCAGACATTAAATAAGACAAACTGAATATCTTGGAAGAAACCCTGTACTAAAGCTGAGTCAGATATTTGTATGATACCAGGGTACCTGTTGAAGTGTAGATGAACTTAAAAGCTACAGTTAGTGATTTAAAAAAAATTTGTTAGTAGCTGGTTGTAATTTCCCCTTACTGAATCCTAAAAACGTCCACACCAAGACAGATGCTCCACTGCATACCAGAGGAAAATCCCATCAGCAAAGAAATGCAGCAAGCAAGAAACAATGTGTAAACAGTACTAGTACTCACCAGCATGCCTCCTGGAGCAGCAGGCCCACCGTATGGGCCTGTAGGCCCAGGGCCAGGACCATAGGAGCCAGGAGCAGGAGCAGGAGGGAAGCCTCCACCTGCAGGTGGTCCCCATGACCCAGGAGGTATAGGGGGAAAGCCTCCAGCAGGGAATGCAGGGAATGAGCCAGGGCCAGCTGGAGGTGGATATGCACCAGGACCACTTGGGCCGTACATTCCAGTGCCTCCTATTGGTTGACTTCCTGGGAAAGGTGCATTTGGGTAAGGCCCAGGGGGAGCTCCAGGGCCAGAAGGAAAGGGTCCAGTTGGGTAAGGAGCAGGGCCTCCAGGTAGCTGTCCTGGAGCTCCCTCGGGTGGGTACTGCCCAGGGAACTGCCCAGGGAACTGCCCTGGAGCTCCAGGGCTGGAGGAGAAATGTCCTGGGGCTCCTGGTGCAGGTGGATATTGTCCAGGTATCCCAGAACCAGGGGGGAACCCACCAGGTGCTGAAGGAGGTCCTGGATATTGCCCTGGTGCTCCAGGACCAGAGGGAAATGGAAACTGCCCAGGTGCTCCTGGGCCAGACATCCCACCAGCAAAGTTACCTGGAGCAGAGGGCTGGGTTGGGGCCCCAGGGGCTGAACCAGGCCATCCTGGATTTGTAGGAGGTGGAGGGTTGCAGGCAGGGGCAGATGGGTTAGTGTTGCCTATTTTCTTTGCCTGCCTTGTGGTATCATCTCCTAGGGCATCTGACAGCTACATTAGAAGAGAAAGGGAAAGTGGCTCTCTTTAATCAATGGATGCCAGTAATTAAACACCTCAAAATTATGTAAAACTGTGCAGTCCTTTAAACTCACCGAGAAATCATCCATGGTCTAAAACAAAATAAGACAACTTTCATTAGTTTTATTCATTAGCTATAACAACCGATTATAACAAGGTGTCAAACACTGTGGCTCTGAGTAATAGCCGAGTAAATGTTTCCATCTCCTAGTGGTGGTCAACAAAATCCATTTGAGCACTCTCGAAATAGCTTGACTTTAAAAGATTATTACGAAAAGCTATATTTAAATTATGCGGACTATAGGTACATATTAACGGAGAGTTCGTTTTAAAATATCTAGTTATTTGGTGTTACACATTTAGCTACGGACCTAGCTAATAGCAGCTAACTGTTAGTTAATGTTCAAATAGTTAGCTCGTTTGTTTTCTTTAGTTTCTTGATATCTATAGCGACTAAGTAGTAAAAGCTGATATTTTATGTTACCTCGACATAGGATGGACTCCTTTCCGGTGAAAGCAGTAGGTTAAATCGTTAGTTAACCAGCTATGGAAGCCAATTAGCCTACTAGTTCAGCCTGCCAATGCACAGGACTACAAGCTAACGTATCTGCGCCCAACTACAACTATTAAAAAGGAAGCTGATGACGTATGCTTTAAGGTGGGCGGGTTCCGGACACTGACAAAAACACACGCGTGCGCACAAACAGATGATTTCAACACTTGGGGGGACTTTTGTTGGCAATACTAGTGAGACAACCTAAATGGAGGACACACACTTGTAATAGTGCTTTTATATTGTAGTATTACTACTTTTGTTTTTAAAGATAAGAATCCACTACTGATTACTGATAATGCATAAAAATACCTATTATTTTAGGCCTAAGCGTTAGTATGTCATTTTTGTGTTATTACATTACTGTGGGAGCAAACGCTGGGTAGTTTCTTAGCTACACTTAGATAAAACTAATGCAGAAATACGGAAGTCCTGCATTCAGTTTTACCTTTATGAAAGTGATAATGTTCGGTTTTTTGTTTAACTGTTATAAAGAAATGTTGATTCAGTTGCAGCCTATGATCATTTTGGAGGAGGGAACTGGGATTTACCCTGTCCTCACTGAAGTATAATGCAAACAACACAGTGGTTGAAAGTAACAGTACATTTACTCAAGAATGATTTTGAGGTATCTGTACTTTACTTGAGTTTTTTCATTTGTTACTACTTAATACTTAGACTTAACTACATTGTACAGGCAAATATTATACTTTTTTTTTACCTCACTAGCCTACATTTATTTGAGGACTTGAGTTACATTACAGAATCAGAATCAGTTTTATTGGCCAGGTGTGTCGAACACACGAGGAATTTCACCTTGGTACATTGGCTTTCAATGTGTATGTACATACCCCCATGCAAGGGGCGAGTAAACAGTAGTATTAACAAGCAACAAACAGTCCAGACAATGTAAAATAAGCAGTATAAACAGGCAGTAAACAATGCAGACAGGCAAATAATGCTCATTGTGAAATGGGATAAGTAGGAATAAAAATAGAGTACTTAAAATAGAGACTTGTATGAATCTGTATAATTTGTACGAGGTATATTTACAGGTACTGCACTGAGGGTTATTGTCCAGTCATACTGTCATAGGTTAAGTGTTAATCAGGGTGACAGCCTGGGGGAAGAAACTGTTCCTGTGCCTGGTTGTCTTGGTGCACAGTGACCTGTAACGCCGTCCAGAGGGGAGGACTT